ATATCAGTGGTCGCATTGATTTGATTTTTGGTTTGGTTGGAGGGCGCTGGCACCCACATTCAGTGACCCAGAAAATTTGGCACTGCTGTGGATAGTTTAGTCGCAAAGTGAAGATTCACGGGTAAAAAGCCCCAAACTGTCAGAAAGGTTATTTTTCAGCTTTCAGCAGCCCTGGGCGAGTTCTTTAGAGAAATGTGGCTCTTTTTCTTGGTGCACTTGTCTATGTCCAGCTACAGAAGGAGATGAGGATGGTCATTGTCTGTTTCTGAGCTGCGAACGGGCAGAAAGGTGAGAAAATGTCGGATTTTGACCATTTGTGCTGACCTTTGAATTTCAATGTACCTCTCTATAACATGACCCAGCTGCGTTGTCAATGGTCGCATTGACTTGATTTTTGGTTTGCTTGGAGGGCGCTGGCACCCACATTCAGTGACCCAGAAAATTTGGCACTGCTGTGAATAGTTTAGTCGCAAAGTGAAGAATCACGGGTAAAAAGCCCCAAACTGTGAGATAGGTTATTTTTCAGCTTTCAGCAGCCTTGGGCGAGTTCTTTAGAGAAATGTGGCTCTTTTTCTTGGTGCACTTGTGTATGTCCAGCTACAGAAGGAGATGAGGATGGTCATTGTCTGTTTCTGAGCTGCGAACGGGTAGAAAGGTGAGAAAATGTCGGATATTGACCATTTGTGCTGACCTTTGAATTTCAATGCACCTCTCTATAACATGACCCAGCTGCATTGTCAGTGGTCGCATTTATTTGATTTTTTAGTTTGCTTGGAGGGCGCTGGCACCCACATTCAGTAACCCAGAAAATTTGGCACTGCTGTGAATAGTTTAGTCGCAAAGTGAAGATTCACGGGTAAAAAGCCCCAAACTGTCAGAAAGGTTATTTTTCAGCTTTCAGCAGCCCTGGGCGAGTTCTTCAGAGAAATGTGGCTCTTTTTCTTGGTGCACTTGTCTATGTCCAGCTACACAAGGAGATGAGGATGGTCATTGTCTGTTTCTGAGCTGCGAACGGGCAGAAAGGTGAGAAAATGTCGGATTTTGACCATTTGTGCTGACCTTTGAATTTCAATGCACCTCTCTATAACGTGACCCAGCTGTAATATCAGTGTTCGCATTGATTTGATTTTTGGTTTGCTTGGAGGGCGCTGGCACCCACATTCATTGACCCAGAAAATTTGGCACTGCTGTGAATAGTTTAGTCACAAAGTGAAGATTCACGGGTAAAGAGCCCCAAACTGTGAGATAGGTTATTTTTCAGCTTTCAGCAGCCCTGGGCGAGTTCTTCAGAGAAATGTGGCTCTTTTTCTTGGTGCACTTGTCTATGTCCAGCTACACAAGGAGATGAGGATGTTCATAGTGATTTTTTGAGCTGCGAACGGGCAGAAAGGTGAGAAAATGTCGGATTTTGACCATTTGTGCTGACCTTTGAATTTCAATGTACCTCTCTATAACATGACCCAGCTGCGTTGTCCATGGTCGCATTGATTTGATTTTTGGTTTGGTTGTAGGACGCTGGCACCCACATTCATTGACCCAGAAAATTTGGCACTGCTGTGAATAGTTTAGTCGCAAAGTGAAGATTCACGGGTAAAAAGCCCCAAACTGTCAGAAAGGTTATTTTTCAGCTTTCAGCAGCCCTGGGCGAGTTCTTTAGAGAAATGTGGCTCTTTTTCTTGGTGCACTTGTCTATGTCCAGCTACAGAAGGAGATGAGGATGGTCATTGTCTGTTTCTGAGCTGCGAACGGGCAGAAAGGTGAGAAAATGTCGGATTTGACCATTTGTGCTGACCTTTGAATTTCAATGTACCTCTCTATAACATGACCCAGCTGCATTGTCAGTGGTCGCATTTATTTGATTTTTGGTTTGGTTGTAGGACGCTGGCACCCACATTCAGTAACCCAGAAAATGTGGCACTGCTGTGAATAGTTTAGTCGCAAAGTGAAGATTCACGGGTAAAAAGCCCCAAACTGTCAGATAGGTTATTTTTCAGCTTTCAGCAGCCTTGGCCGAGTTCTTTAGAGAAATGTGGCTCTTTTTCTTTGTGCACTCGTCTGTGTCCAGCTACACAAGGAGATCAGGATGGTCATTGTCTGTTTCTGAGCTGCGAACGGGCAGAAAGGTGAGAAAATGTCGGATTTTGACCATTTGTGCTAACCTTTGAATTTCAATGTACCTCTCTATAACATGACCCAGCTTTAATATCAGTGGTCGCATTGATTTGATTTTTGGTTTGGTTGGAGGGCGCTGGCACCCACATTCAGTGACCCAGAAAATTTGACACTGCTGTGGATAGTTTAGTCGCAAAGTGAAGATTCACGGGTAAAAAGCCCCAAACTGTCAGAAAGGTTATTTTTCAGCTTTCAGCAGCCCTGGGCGAGTTCTTTAGAGAAATGTGGCTCTTTTTCTTGGTGCACTTGTCTATGTCCAGCTACAGAAGGAGATGAGGATGGTCATTGTCTGTTTCTGAGCTGCGAACGGGCAGAAAGGTGAGAAAATGTCGGATTTTGACCATTTGTGCTGACCTTTGAATTTCAATGTACCTCTCTATAACATGACCCAGCTGCGTTGTCAATGGTCGCATTGACTTGATTTTTGGTTTGCTTGGCGGGCGCTGGCACCCACATTCAGTGACCCAGAAAATTTGGCACTGCTGTGAATAGTTTAGTCGCAAAGTGAAGAATCACGGGTAAAAAGCCCCAAACTGTGAGATAGGTTATTTTTCAGCTTTCAGCAGCCTTGGGCGAGTTCTTTAGAGAAATGTGGCTCTTTTTCTTGGTGCACTTGTGTATGTCCAGCTACAGAAGGAGATGAGGATGGTCATTGTCTGTTTCTGAGCTGCGAACGGGCAGAAAGGTGAGAAAATGTCGGATATTGACCATTTGTGCTGACCTTTGAATTTCAATGCACCTCTCTATAACATGACCCAGCTGCATTGTCAGTGGTCGCATTTATTTGATTTTTGGTTTGCTTGGAGGGCGCTGGCACCCACATTCAGTGACCCAGAAAATTTGGCACTGCTGTGAATAGTTTAGTCGCAAAGTGAAGATTCACGGGTAAAAAGCCCCAAACTGTGAGATAGGTTATTTTTCAGCTTTCAGCAGCCCTGGGCGAGTTCTTTAGAGAAATGTGGCTCTTTTTCTTGGTGCACTTGTCTATGTCCAGCTACAGAAGGAGATGAGGATGGTCATTGTCTGTTTCTGAGCTGCGAACGGGCAGAAAGGTGAGAAAATGTCGGATCTTGACCATTTGTGCTGACCTTTGAATTTCAATGCGCCTCTCTATAACATGACCCAGCTGCATTGTCAGTGGTCGCATTGATTTGATTTTTGGTTTGCTTGGAGGGCGCTGGCACCCACATTCAGTGACCAAGAACATTTGGCACTGCTGTGGATAATTTAGTCGCAAAGTGAAGATTCACGGGTAAAAAGCCCCAAACTGTCAGAAAGGTTATTTTTCAGCTTTCAGCAGCCCTGGGCGAGTTCTTTAGAGAAATGTTGCTCTTTTTCTTGGTGCACTTTTTTATGTCCAGCTACAGAAGGAGATGAGGATGGTCATTGTCTGTTTCTGAGCTGCGAACGGGCAGAAAGGTGAGAAAATGTCGTATTTTGAAAATTTGTCCTGACCTTTGAATTTCAATGTACCTCTCTATAACATGACCCAGCTGCATTGTCAGTGGTCGCATTTATTTGATTTTTGGTTTGCTTGGAGGGCGCTGGCACCCACATTCAGTAACCCAGAAAATTTGGCACTGCTGTGAATAGTTTAGTCGCAAAGTGAAGATTCACGGGTAAAAATCCCCAAACTGTCAGATAGGTTATTTTTCAGCTTTCAGCAGCCTTGGGCGAGTTCTTTAGAGAAATGTGACTCTTTTTCTTGGTGCACTTGTCTATGTCCAGCTACAGAAGGAGATGAGGATGGTCATTGTCTGTTTCTGAGCTGCGAACGGGCAGAAAGGTGAGAAAATTTCGGATTTTGACCATTTGTGCTGACCTTTGAATTTCAATGCACCTCTCTATAACATGACCCAGCTGCATTGTCAGTGGTCGCATTGATTTGATTTTTGGTTTGCTTGGAGGGCGCTGGCACCCACATTCAGTGACCCAGAAAATTTGGCACTGCTGTGAACAGTTTAGTCGCAAAGTGAAGATTCACGGGTAAAAAGCCTCAAACTGTCAGAAAGGTTATTTTTCAGCTTTCAGCAGCCCTGGGCGAGTTCTTTAGAGAAATGTGGCTCTTTTTCTTGGTGCACTTGTCTATATCCATCTACATAAGGAGATGAGGATGGTCATTGTCTGTTACTGAGCTATTAACGGGCGGAAAGGTGAGAAAATGTCGGATTTTGAACATTTGTGCTGACCTTTGAATTTCAATGTACCTCTCTATAACATGACCCAGCTGTAATATCAGTGGTCGCATTGATTTGATTTTTGGTTTGCTTGGAGGGCGCTGGCACCCACATTCATTGACCCAGAAAATTTGGCACTGCTGTGAATAGTTCAGTCACAAAGCGAAGATTCACGGGTAAAGAGCCCCAAACTGTCAGATAGGTTATTTTTCAGCTTTCAGCAGCCCTGGGCGAGTTCTTCAGAGAAATGTGGCTCTTTTTCTTGGTGCACTTGTCTATGTCCAGCTACACAAGGAGATGAGGATGTTCATAGTCATTTTTTGAGCTGCGAACGGGCAGAAAGGTGAGAAAATGTCGGATTTTGACCATTTGTGCTGACCTTTGAATTTCAATGTACCTCTCTATAACATGACCCAGCTGCGTTGTCCATGGTCGCATTGATTTCATTTTTGGTTTGGTTTTTTGGACGCTGGCACCCACATTCATTGACCCAGAAAAGTTGGCACTGCTGTGAATAGTTTAGTCGCAAATTGAAGATTCGCGGGTAAAAAGCCCCAAACTGTCAGAAAGGTTATTTTTCAGCTTTCAGCAGCCCTGGGCGAGTTCTTTAGAGAAATGTGGCTCTTTTTCTTGGTGTACTTGTCTATGTCCAGCTACAGAAGGAGATGAGGATGGTCATTGTCTGTTTTTGAGCTGCGAACGGGCAGAAAGGTGAGAAAATGTCGGATTTTGACCATTTGTGCTGACCTTTGAATTTCAATGTACCTCTCTATAACATGACCCAGCTGTAATGTCAGTGGTCGGATTGTTTTGATTTTTGGTTTGCTTGGAGCGCGCTGGCACCCACATTCAGTGACCCAGAAAATTTGGCACTGCTGTGAATAGTTTAGTCGCAAAGTGAAGATTCACGGGTAAAAAGCCTCAAACTGTGAGAGGTTATTTTCAGCTTTCCGTTTACAATTTCTGGAATCAGTCTCGAAGATTCATTGTAAGGAAAAATATGTCTCTCTTGTCTCGAAGGAGAAAACTCAAAGAACAAAAGACAGTGAAGCAAACCGCCAGCAAATTAAGCTACCGTACGCTTTCCAACGGCGAAAGGCGATAGTGCGGGAAAACACGAAGATACAAGGAGAAGACTGTAAGCTCAGGTAAATGCGAGAGAGGAGTTGGTGATAATCAAGAATGAGATAATCAAGAATGGAGAAAGGAAGATCAAAAGAGAGAGAGAGATAGTGAGAGAGAGAGAGAGAGCGAGAGAACGAGGCTGTCTGGCGATCGTATGCAATATCTCACACTCCCCCCAGTTGAGGCGATCAGAACCATGCATGCCTCAACTCATGCGTGATATTGCAATCAGTGTAAGGTCACCCAGACAAACGAAGGAAAGAAAGAAACAAGGCAACTCAAATTAGACTGCTGCGGTGCACAAATAACTTAAAAGAGACTTGTGCATGATCCAGTAACAAGTTTAATCTAGCTCATGATGGTGTCCAGCTCCACCTACACACGGCCAGCATCAATGAGGCGGTGTCGCAACTCTTGCGCACGCCGAGCTGCTGCACGGATCGGGCGAGCGGGGGCCGCCGAGGACGACTCCACACCAGCAACAGCTGGAGTAGCGGCAGGCAACTGCTCTGCGCCGACATCATCAGCAGCAGTCTGGGCCCGGGAGCTAACCTCGACCGGGTAGAGACGCTGAATCGGGCGACGTAAGCGTGACGGACGACCATCATTGGCTGAGCACTTGACAGTAGCGCCGCGCACACTGCCATCACTGCTCGGCAGGAGCTCCTCAACTAGGCCGAGTCTCCACATACCTCGCTGCACGCCTTGCTCGTGGATGACAACAACGTCACCAACCCGGATGTCACTGCCACGACGAGCGTTCCCGGTGCGATGCGAGTTCCTCAGCTCCAGCAGGTACTCCGATGTCCAGCGCGACCAGAAGTGGTCAATCAGAGACTTGACATAGACGAGGCGTTTCAATAGTGAGTCACGCTGTACTGTAGCAACCTCTGTATCTTCCGGGTCCACCATGGGCGTGGACAGTATGCGTCGACCGTACATCAGATGTGACGGCGTAAGCGGCTCATCCAGATCTTCGGTTGACACAAACGATAATGGGCGACTGTTCAAGACCGCTTCTATCTCGATGAGCACGGTCAGAAGCTCTTCGTAAGTGACTGTGGCTTGCTGCAGTATCTTCTTGAGGCAGCGCTTGACGGACTTGACCAGCCACTCGAAAAAGCCACCCCACCAGGGGGCTTTTTCGAGGTTGAATGACCATTTCACAGACCTGCTGTCGAGCTGAGAGGACACCTCATCGAGTTCGAACAGCGCGCACAAGGTATTGGCCGTGGACTTGAACGTCTTGGCGTTGTCCGACTTCATCTCCTTCGGGATGCCGAATCTGGCTGTGAATCGATGGAAACAGCGCAGAAACGTCTCAGCGGAGAGATCTGGCACGAGATCCAGATGAATCGCTCGGGTAACGCCACAGGTGAACAGCGCGATGTACACCTTCTTCACAGCACTCTGCTCTTTGATGTACAGCGGACCCGCGAAGTCGACGCCAGTGTAGGTGAATGGCGCGTCGATTGTCGTCCGGAATTCTGGCAGTGGCGGAGCTGCTGGAGGCACGTACGCCACTCTCGAGACGCTTGCAGACACGGCACGCTAGCAACAGGCTCCGAATGTACTGGCGACCACGGACGACCCAGTAGGCAGACCTCAGCTCCGTGAGTGTCTCTTTCACGCCATTGTGAGCGACTCGGCGGTGGCAGCGAATGACGATCAGGTCAGTGTACCGGTGTGTGGTGTGCAGGATAGCGGGATGCTTCTGCTCGAACGTGAGTGCCGCTTTCTGCAGCCGACCTTTGCAGCGCAAGATGCCAGAGTCGTCGCAAAAGATTTCGAACTCTTTCTGCCAACTTGAGAACTTGGGGTCCCTGACGACCGACCGCTGCACATCCTTCAGCCAGAGCGACTGCGCATACGCCATTGCCGAGTGAACTTCGGGGTCAGGCTTCTGTTGCAAGCGACTGACAAACTTCAGCGCTAGAACCGTGACTCGTAGTAGCTTGTCGACGTCGCTGAAGCGGCTGATGTCGACAATCTGCCCGATGTCGACCTCTGGTGCCTTTGACCCGGTGAGCAGGGCAGCTGTCGGCTGGCCCTTCTTCAGTTCGGACATCGCTTCTACTGCTCGTGTAGGAGGAGGACTAGCTCCGTCGGGGTTGCACTTCGCAGTGGCGAGCCACGACGGTCCAGAGTACCAGATGGTCTGCTCCAGCTGGTTCGGCTTCACTCCCCGTGACGGCAGATCTGCAGGGTTGGAGTTGTTGTTGTTGTTGTTTTTGTTTATTTAGAGTCGAAGAACAAACAGGAGTCAGTTGGGCAATACTGCCAAGCTGATGACGGGACAAGACGTCGGATGGATTGCGCACGGTTCTCCACGAACTGCTTCCACTCGTGCTGCTCTCCGATAATCCAACTTAGCGCGACTTGCGAATCCGTCCAACAGCGGACCTCCTCGATGTTAACTGCGCCAGTCAATGCCGATAGCACCGACGACACGAGTCGGGCCAGGACTAGCGCCGCCATGAGCTCCAAGCGCGGGATGGACTGTTTAGCGACGGGTGTAACTCGGCTGCGTGCTGCAACTAGTTGGACTTGCGTGTCTCCTTTCCCGTGGCTGACCAGGTACACTACTGCTGCGAACGCCTTGACGGATGCATCGCAGAATCCATGAAGCGAAACTGTTGCTTGGGAACTGGCGCCATGGAAATACCACCGGGGAAGGCTGACTGGCTCCATCGTGGCGAGACCAGTGACGAGCGTACGCCAAGTTGCCAGCTGCTCTCCCACTAGCGGCTGGTCCCATTCCAGTTTGGCTTTGCACAGTTCCTGGATAAACATCTTGAGTGCCACCGTCACTGGCGTGATGAAGCCGAGTGGGTCGAATATCCGGGATGATGCTGACAGTGCTTGGCGCTTGGTGATGGTGTCAACAGCCACTTCGGCGAATACAGCACGGACATCTAAGACCAGCGTGTCTGCCTTGCGATTCCATGGGAGGCCCAGGACCTTCTCGTGCTGCTGGCGAAGGCTGGCGTCGGTGTTCAGCGTGCTCTTGGCGTACGACTGCACATCTTGGGTTACTGTGGTACGGTCTGTTGCGCTGGAGCCCGCATCGCTTTCGTCGCCGTGTGCTCGAGCCATCAATTGCTCTGAGTTGGAAGCAAACTTGCGCAGGTTGAAGCCTGCCTCAGCGAGATGCACCTTCGATTTCACGTAGAAGGTGTATGCTGCTTCTTCATCGGTATCACCACCAGCGACATCGTCCACGTACAGCGACTTGATGAGCTGCTCGACGTGTTGCGGATCGTCGGCAGCATACTGATCCATGTGGTGGTGTATGGTGGCATTCAGGAGGAATGGGGCCACTGAAAGTTGGGATGGTGATCTTCTTCAAATGGCGATAGACATCAGATGGTGCCGCACTGTGTGGACTTTGACCTGAGGAACTGTCAGGTGAGGGAGTCAGTGCAGGTGGCGACAATTGCGGCGTAATGGGTAAACGTGCTGACTGCGATGACAGCGTCGGGTTTTGACTGTATGGTCGGAAGCCGCTCCTAGTCTGGTCAGGCGTCGACAATGCGTACGACGGTTGCTGTGGTGCTGCGTGCGGCGGCAGCTGTGGCGCTGCGTGCGACGGCTGCTGCGGCGCTGCGTGCGGCGGCTGCTGCGGCGCTGCGTGCGGCGGCAGCTGCAGCGGTTGCTGTGCGGAACTTAAAAACGCTGTGTACATCGGCTGCTGCGGCGCTGCGTGCGGCGGCTGCTGCGGCGGCGCTGCGTGCGGTGGCAGCTGCAGCGGTTGCTGTGCGGAACTTAAAAGCACGGTGGACAGCTGCTGCTGTGTGGCCTGCGTCGACGATTGTCGTGGCACCGAGTGCGACGGCTGCTGCAGAGAACTACTGGAAAACGCTGTGTACAGAGGCTGCTGCACCTGCGTTGACGACTGCTGTGGCGCAGAGTAGGACGGCTGCTGCACCGAACTACTGGAAAACGCTGTGTACAGAGGCTGCTGCACCTGCGTTGACGACTGCTGTGGCGCAGAGTAGGACGGCTGCTGCACCGAACTACTTGTACTTGACAACGCTGTGTACGGCGGCTGCTGCCTGACCTGTGTTGACGACTGTCGTGGCGCTGAGTGGGCCGGCTGCGGCACGGAGCTCGAGAGCTCTGTGTACAGCGGCTGCTGCGAAGCCGGAGAGCTCGACGCCGTGTACGATGGCTGCGGCCGAGAGTTCAAAAACTCCGTGCATGGCGGCTGCTGCGAAGCCAGAGAGTTCGAAGACGCCGTGTACGACGGCTGCGCGTGCGGCCGAGAGTTCGAAAACTCCGTACACGGCGGCTGCTGCGAAGCCAGAGAGTTCAAAAACTCTGCGTACGACTGCTGCATCGGGGAGTTCGAAAACTCCGTGCACGGCGGCTGAGCCGGCGATGTTGACCTCGGATTTGAGAGGCTCTCTGTAGCTGTGGCCATCAGCCCACGCGGAGGCTTGACCTCGAGGTCATCAGTGAGCGCCGCATGTGGGTATACCGGATCCCTGTTGACATGTATGTCGGGCGGACCTTGGTCAACGCTGTACTCATGGACATGGTACTCATACGACGGGACGGCCTGGCCCTGCGTAGGTCTACTTGCACTGGACAGAGCAGCTGTAGCCTGTGTAGGTGCACCCAAAGACACACTGACATTCGCACTACCTGTGGTGCTACTCTGCATATGTGTAGATTCTACGTGTGTGGATTCCTGTTGTAACTGATCCTGTGCAGCTCGCACTGTCCTTGCCGCAGACACAGACTCCAAATACTCTCGTACTCGATCAGGGTTGCGTGAGTACCGCACACCCGTCGCCTCGCTGGTGCACGTACTATTGTAACGGCTCATGCTAGCCAAAACTGTACTCGCACGAGTAACAGCATCTGTATACTGGTTTTCCAGATCATCAGCATCCTTGCAAAGACCATCAAGAAACACACTGTCCTGACTGGTACTACATGCGCTGGATAACTCGGTGATAATCTCCATCACGGCGTTCAGGCCGTTCTCAAGTAAAACAAGATTGTACTTGATCTTGTCTTTGTCTAAGTCTGGTTCGTCGATGGCGACGAGTAGTCCGCGGCGAAGGTTCGTGAAGGTTGCCTTCGCCTTCGCTTTGGCGATCTTCCGCTTCACTACGTCAGCCATCGTCTGAGAGGCTCGAAGGACCAATTTACAATTTCTGGAATCAGTCTCGAAGATTCATTGTAAGGAAAAATATGTCTCTCTTGTCTCGAAGGAGAAAACTCAAAGAACAAAGGACAGTGAAGCAAACCGCCAGCAAATCAAGCTACCGTACGCTTTCCAACGGCGAAAGGCGATAGTGCGGGAAAACACGAAGATACAAGGAGAAGACTGTAAGCTCAGGTAAATGCGAGAGAGGAGTTGGTGATAATCAAGAATGAGATAATCAAGAATGGAGAAAGGAAGATCAAAAGAGAAAGAGAGATAGTGAGAGAGAGAGAGAGAGAGAGAGAGCGAGAGAACGAGGCTGTCTGGCGATCGTATGCAATATCTCACATTCCGCAGCCCTGGGCGAGTTCTTTAGAGAAATGTGGCTCTTTTTCTTGGTGCACTCGTCTGTGTCCAGCTACACAAGGAGATCAGGATGGTCATTGTCATTTTATAAGCTGCGAACGGGCAGAAAGGTGAGAAAATGTCGGATTTTGACCATTTGTGCTGACCTTTGAATTTCAATGTACCTCTCTATAACATGACCCAGCTGTAATACCAGGGGTGGCATTGATTTGATTTTTCGTTTGCTTGGAGGGCGCTGGCACCCACATTCAGTGACCCAGAAAATTTGGCACTGCTGTGAATAGTTTAGTCGCAAAGTGAAGATTCACGGGTAAAAAGCCCCAAACTGTCAGATATGTTATTTTTCAGCTTTCAGCAGCCTTGGGCGAGTTCTTTAGAGAAATGTGGCTCTTTTTCTTGGTGCACTCGTCTGTGTCCAGCTACACAAGGAGATCAGGATGGTCATTGTCATTTTGTGAGCTGCGAACGGGCAGAAAGCTTTCAGCAGCCCTGGGCGAGTTCTTTAGAGAAATGTGGCTCTTTTTCTTGGTGCACTTGTCTATGTCCAGCTACAGAAGGAGATAAGGATGGTCATTGTCTGTTTCTGAGCTGCCAACAGCAGAAAGGTGAGAAAATGTCGGATTTTGACCATTTGTGCTGACCTTTGAATTTCAATGTACCTCTCTATAACATGACCCAGCTGTAATATCAGTGGTCGCATGGATTTGATTTTTGGTTTGGTTGGAGGGCGCTGGCACCCACATTCAGTGACCCAGAAAATTTGGCACTGCTGTGGATAGTCGCAAAGTGAAGATTCACGGGTAAAAATCCCCAAACTGTCAGATAGGTTATTTTTCAGCTTTTAGCAGCCCTGGGCGAGTTCTTCAGAGAAATGTGGCTCTTTTTCTTGGTGCACTTGTCTATGTCCAGCTACAGGAGATGAGGATGGTCATTATCATTTTCTGAGCTGAGAACGGGCAGAAAGGTGAGAAAATGTGGGATTTTGACCATATTTTGTGCTGACCTTTGAATTTCAATGTACCTCTCTATAACATGACCCAGCTGTAATGTCAGTGGTCGCATTGATTTGATTTTTGGTTTGCTTGGAGGGCGCTGGCACCCACATGCAGTGACCCAGAAAATTTGGCACTGCTGTGAATAGTTTAGTCGCAAAGTGAAGATTCACGGGTAAAAAGCCCCAAACTGTCAGATAGGTTATTTTTCAGCTTTCAGCAGCCCTGGGCGAGTTCTTCAAGGAAATGTGGCTCTTTTTCTTGGTGCACTTGTCTATGTCCAGCTACACAAGGAGATGAGGATGTTCATAGTCTTTTTTTGAGCTGCGAACGGGCAGAAAGGTGAGAAAATGTCAGATTTTGACCATTTGTGCTGACCTTTGAATTTCAATGTACCTCTCTATAACATGACCCAGCTGTAATGTCAGTAGTCGCATTGTTTTGATTTTTGGTTTGCTTGGAGGGCGCTGGCACCCACATCCAGTGACCCAGAAAATTTGGCACTGCTGTGAATAGTTACCGTATTATCTCTAATATAAGCACGGTCCTTTATTTTTTCAATGTACCTCCGCCCCGTGCTATTAATGGAGACGTTCCTTTATTGGAGACTGTTCCATTATTATTTCAACCTCATTTCAGAGGCATGTTGCCATGCCAAATTCATGTATGACACACACATTTCAGGGTTTTTTTCGCCGGTACAGATAATGAATTTACACAGTGTGCTTATAATGGAGACTGAGCACTTTATTTTTTGAATGCCGCCCCAAGGTGTTCTATTATTGGAGACGTGCTATTATTGGAGACTGTGCTTATATTAGAGATAATACGGTAAGTCGCAAAGTGAAGATTCACGGGTAAAAAGCCCCAAACTGTCAGATAGGTTATTTTTCAGCTTTCAGCAGCCCTGGGCAAGTTCTTCAGGGAAATGTGGCTCTTTTTCTTGGTGCACTTGTCTATGTCCAGCTACACAAGGAGATGAGGATGTTCATAGTCATTTTTTGAGCTGCGAACGGGCAGAAAGGTGAGAAAATGTCGGATTTTGACCATTTGTGCTGACCTTTGAATTTCAATGCACCTCTCTATAACGTGACCCAGCTGTAATATCAGTGTTCGCATTGATTTGATTTTTGGTTTGCTTGGATGGCGCTGGCACCCACATTCAGTGACCCAGAAAATTTGGCACTGCTGTGAATAGTTTAGTCGCAAAGTGAAGAATCACGGGTAAAAAGCCCCAAACTGTGAGATAGGTTATTTTTCAGCTTTCAGCAGCCTTGGGCGAGTTCTTTAGAGAAATGTGGCTCTTTTTCTTGGTGCACTTGTCTATGTCCAGCTACACAAGGAGATGAGGATGGTCATTGTCTGTTTCTGAGCTGCAAACGGGCAGAAAGGTGAGAAAATGTCGGATTTTGACCATTTGTGCTGACCTTTGAATTTCAATGTACCTCTCTATAACATGACCCAGCTGCATTGTCAGTGGTCGCATTGATTTGATTTTTGGTTTGCTTGGAGGGCGCTGGCACCCACATTCAGTGACCCAGAAAATTTGGCACTGCTGTGAATAGTTTAGTCGCAAAGTGAAGATTCACGGGTAAAAAGCCTCAAACTGTCAGAAAGGTTATTTTTCAGCTTTCAGCAGCCCTGGGCGAGTTCTTTAGAGAAATGTTGCTCTTTTTCTTGGTGCACTTTTCTATGTCTAGCTACAGAAGGAGATTAGGATGGTCATTGTCTGTTACTGAGCTATTAACGGGCGGAAAGGTGAGAAAATATCGGATTTTGAACATTTGTGCTGACCTTTGAATTTCAATGTACCTCTCTATAACATGACCCAGCTGTAATATCAGTGGTCGCATTGATTTGATTTTTGGTTTGCTTGGAGGGCGCTGGCACCCACATTTATTGACCCAGAAAATTTGGCACTGCTGTGAATAGTTTAGTCGCAAAGTGAAGATTCACGGGTAAAAAGCCCCAAACTGTGAGATAGGTTATTTTTCAGCTTTCAGCAGCCTTGGGCGAGTTCTTTAGAGAAATGTGGCTCTTTTTCTTGGTGCACTTGTCTATGTCCAGCTACACAAGGAGATGAGGATGGTCATTGTCTGTTTCTGAGCTGCAAACGGGCAGAAAGGTGAGAAAATGTCGGATTTTGACCATTTGTGCTGACCTTTGAATTTCAATGTACCTCTCTATAACATGACCCAGCTGCATTGTCAGTGGTCGCATTGATTTGATTTTTGGTTTGCTTGGAGGGCGCTGGCACCCACATTCAGTGACCCAGAAAATTTGGCACTGCTGTGAATAGTTTAGTCGCAAAGTGAAGATTCACGGGTAAAAAGCCTCAAACTGTCAGAAAGGTTATTTTTCAGCTTTCAGCAGCCCTGGGCGAGTTCTTTAGAGAAATGTTGCTCTTTTTCTTGGTGCACTTTTCTATGTCTAGCTACAGAAGGAGATTAGGATGGTCATTGTCTGTTACTGAGCTATTAACGGGCGGAAAGGTGAGAAAATATCGGATTTTGAACATTTGTGCTGACCTTTGAATTTCAATGTACCTCTCTATAACATGACCCAGCTGTAATATCAGTGGTCGCATTGATTTGATTTTTGGTTTGCTTGGAGGGCGCTGGCACCCACATTTATTGACCCAGAAAATTTGGCACTGCTGTGAATAGTTTAGTCGCAAAGTGAAGATTCACGGGTAAAAAGCCCCAAACTGTGAGATAGGTTATTTTTCAGCTGTCAGCAGCCCTGGGCGAGTTCTTCAGAGAAATGTGGCTCTTTTTCTTGGTGCACTTGTCTATGTCCAGCTACACAAGGAGATTAGGATGGTCATTGTCTGTTACTGAGCTATTAACGGGCGGAAAGGTGAGAAAATATCGGATTTTGAACATTTGTGCTGACCTTTGAATTTCAATGTACCTCTCTATAACATGACCCAGCTGTAATATCAGTGGTCGCATTGATTTGATTTTTGGTTTGCTTGGAGGGCGCTGGCACCCACATTTATTGACCCAGAAAATTTGGCACTGCTGTGAATAGTTTAGTCGCAAAGTGAAGATTCACGGGTAAAAAGCCCCAAACTGTCAGAAAGGTTATTTTTCAGCTTTCAGCAGCCCTGGGCGAGTTCTTTAGAGAAATGTGGCTCTTTTTCTTGGTGCACTTGTCTATGTCCAGCTACAGAAGGAGATGAGGATGGTCATTGTCTGTTTCTGAGCTGCGAACGGGCAGAAAGGTGAGAAAATGTCGGATTTTGACCATTTGTGCTGACCTTTGAATTTCAATGTACCTCTCTATAACATGACCCAGCTGCATTGTCAGTGGTCGCATTTATTTGATTTTTGGTTTGCTTGGAGGGCGCTGGCACCCACATTCAGTAACCCAGAAAATTTGGCACTGCTGTGAATAGTTTAGTCGCAAAGTGAAGATTCACGGGTAAAAAGCCCCAAACTGTCAGATAGGTTATTTTTCAGCTTTCAGCAGCCTTGGCCGAGTTCTTTAGAGAAATGTGGCTCTTTTTCTTTGTGCACTCGTCTGTGTCCAGCTACACAAGGAGATCAGGATGGTCATTGTCATTTTGTGAGCTGCGAACGGGCAGAAAGGTGAGAAAATGTCGGATTTTGACCATTTGTGCTGACCTTTGAATTTCAATGCACCTCTCTATAACATGACCCAGCTGTAATATCAGTGGTAGCATTGATTTGATTTTTGGTTTGGTTGGAGGGCGCTGGCACCCACATTCAGTGACCCAGAAAATTTGGCACTGCTGTGGATAGTTTAGTCGCAAAGTGAAGATTCACGGGTAAAAAGCCCCAAACTGTCAGACATTGCGCGAAATCACGCGACACCTGTACATTTTCGATCTGCGGGATGAAGATGACGACGTCCATGCATCAGGTATCAGGGGGTAGTAAGATACTGGTATATTACTACTCCACGCCTCGAATCGTGCTGTCAAGCGTATGCGGGGGAGTGTAGCATGCCATCCCTTACACTTTCCAGCTCAGGGTTACCCTCGCTACCAATGGACGAAATTTCAGGGTCACAGCTTGCGCAACGGCTTTGTCCTGTGCGAATGGCCACTCGACATACTCAGCACAAATTTTCTATTGCATGCATGCACAAAATGTTCAACTTTCGTATTTTTGGCGACTTTACCACCGTCGTGGAGGCTGGTTGGTGAGGAGCAGGTAGCCATCCCTTGTGGAATCAAACACATGGTTCCACAGTGTGGCTGATTCCGCAAGAGCCAGGTCCATACGAGGAACATTCGCTTTGTCTTTTGCCGTCGAAGTAAGTCACTTTTCTTGTTCTCAGTGTTTTTTACGTTCAACGTTTCTGAGATTTTTGAATTATTCACTTTTCATTCTTTTAATACTTTATTTCTTCATGTTCACTGCCTCACTTGCCTTCTGATCTGGAGAATGTGACGGAGGTGACTGTTGGTTACTGCCTGGTATAACGGTTGCCGTGCTGTTGCTGTATTTCCGTCCTGCTCGCGACGTTGTAGATCACAAACAATTTGAAATCACATGAATTGTACTTACCGTCGTGCGTGCGGTATTAGGAAACACTGTGCAGATTAGATCGTCGCAATGTATCTATATGTGTGTCTGGTCATCCTGTGCCACGCAAGAACTCCAACCAGACGCATTCGTCCTGGCCCCGTTGATCGATTGTCCACTCGTCTTTCCTTGAAGAACGATTGATCAAAAAAAAATCGAGCTCGAGGACTTTTTGCAAAAAAACGGCTGAAAAAAGGAAGAAAAAAGGGTGCTCAGAAGGAGATTCGAGTACACAACCATGGTCCCAGCAGTTTATGTGGATGTCGCTCTAAGATGCGCGATTTCGCGCAATGAAGGTTATTTTTCAGCTTTCAGCAGCCCTGGGCGAGTTCTTTAGAGAAATGTGGCTCTTTTTCTTGGTGCACTTGTCTATGTCCAGCTACAGAAGGAGATGAGGATGGTCATTGTCTGTTTCTGAGCTGCGAACGGGCAGAAAGGTGAGAAAATGTCGGATTTTGACCATTTGTGCTGACCTTTGAATTTCAATGTACCTCTCTATAACATGACCCAGCTGCGTTGTCAATGGTTGCATTGACTTGATTTTTGGTTTGCTTGGATGGCGCTGGCACCGACATTCAATGACCCAGAAAATTTGGCACTGCTGTGAATAGTTTAGTCGCAAAGTGAAGAATCACGGGTAAAAAGCCCCAAACTGTGGGATAGGTTATTTTTCAGCTTTCAGCAGCCTTGGGCGAGTTCTTTAGAGAAATGTGGCTCTTTTTTCTTGGTGCACTTGTGTATGTCCAGCTACAGAAGGAGATGAGGATGGTCATTGTCTGTTTCTGAGCTGCGAACGGGCAGAAAGGTGAGAAAATGTCGGATATTGACCATTTGTGCTGACCTTTGAATTTCAATGCACCTCTCTATAACATGACCCAGCTGCATTGTCAGTGGTCGCATTTATTTGATTTTTGGTTTGCTTGGAGGGCGCTGGCACCCACATTCAGAGAAATGTGGCTCTTTTTCTTGGTGCACTTGTCTATGTCCAGCTACACAAGGAGATGAGGATGGTCATTGTCTGTTTCTGAGCTGCCAACGGGCGGAAAGGTGAGAAAATGTCGGATTTTGACCATTTGTGCTGACCTTTGAATTTCAATGCACCTCTCTATAACGTGACCCAGCTGTAATATCAGTGTTCACATTGATTTGATTTTTGGTTTGCTTGGAGGGCGCTGGCACCCACATTCAGTGACCCAGAAAATTTGGCACTGCTGTGAATAGTTTAGTCGCAAAGTGAAGATTCACGGGTAAAAAGCCCCAAACTGTGAGATAGGTTATTTTTCAGCTTTCAGCAGAAAGGGGAGAAAATGTCGGATTTTGAAAATTTGTCCTGACCTTTGAATTTCAATGTACCTCTCTATAACATGACCCAGCTGCATTGTCAGTGGTCGCATTTATTTGATTTTTGGTTTGCTTGGAGGGCGCTGGCACCCACATTCAGTAACCCAGAAAATTTGGCACTGCTGTGAATAGTTTAGTCGCAAAGTGAAGATTCACGGGTAAAAAGCCCCAAACTGTCAGATAGGTTATTTTTCAGCTTTCAGCAGCCTTGGGCGAGTTCTTTAGAGAAATGCGACTCTTTTTCTTGGTGCACTTGTCTATGTTCAGCTACAGAAGGAGATGAGGATGGTCATTGTCTGTTTCTGAGCTGCGAACGGGCAGAAAGGTGAGAAAATTTCGGATTTTGACCATTTGTGCTGACCTTTGAATTTCAATGCACCTCTCTATAACATGACCCAGCTGCATTGTCAGTGGTCGCATTGATTTGATTTTTGGTTTGCTTGGAGGGCGCTGGCACCCACATTCAGTGACCCAGAAAATTTGGCACTGCTGTGAATAGTTTAGTCGCAAAGTGAAGATTCACGGGTAAAAAGCCTCAAACTGTCAGAAAGGTTATTTTTCAGCTTTCAGCAGCCCTGGGCGAGTTCTTTAGAGAAATGTGGCTCTTTTTCTTGGTGCACTTGTCATAAGGAGATGAGGATGGTCATTGTCTGTTACTGAGCTATTAACGGGCGGAAAGGTGAGAAAATGTCGGATTTTGAACATTTGTGCTGACCTTTGAATTTCAATGTACCTCTCTATAACATGACCCAGCTGTAATATCAGTGGTCGCATTGATTTGATTTTTGGTTTGCTTGGAGGGCGCTGGCACCCACATTCATTGACCCAGCAAATTTGGCACTGCTGTGAATAGTTCAGTCACAAAGCGAAGATTCACGGGTAAAGAGCCCCAAACTGTCTGATAGGTTATTTTTCAGCTTTCAGCAGCCCTGGGCGAGTTCTTCAGAGAAATGTGGCTCTTTTTCTTGGTGCACTTGTCTATGTCCAGCTACACAAGGAGATTAGGATGGTCATTGTCTGTTACTGAGCTATTAACGGGCGGAAAGGTGAGAAAATATCGGATTTTGAACATTTGTGCTGACCTTTGAATTTCAATGTACCTCTCTATAACATGACCCAGCTGTAATATCAGTGGTCGCATTGATTTGATTTTTGGTTTGCTTGGAGGGCGCTGGCACCCACATTTATTGACCCAGAAAATTTGGCACTGCTGTGAATAGTTTAGTCGCAAAGTGAAGATTCACGGGTAAAAAGCCCCAAACTGTCAGAAAGGTTATTTTTCAGCTTTCAGCAGCCCTGGGCGAGTTCTTTAGAGAAATGTGGCTCTTTTTCTTGGTGCACTTGTCTATGTCCAGCTACAGAAGGAGATGAGGATGGTCATTGTCTGTTTCTGAGCTGCGAACGGGCAGAAAGGTGAGAAAATGTCGGATTTTGACCATTTGTGCTGACCTTTGTGTAACGAATTTATGTTACGACTATGATTTACGCATGTCGTTGTATTTGGTTCTTGTCTTGTGGAGTCCAGTGTCTGATGTCATATATGGTCTAGGTGTACGCGTGAGCATGGTGTGATGTGTGACGTTTATGGTATGTGGTGCATGCAGGAGTACGCGTTGTCAGAGTGTGAGGATGTGCTTCCGTCTGTGTGAGAGTGACTGTCAAGTGAATGCAGTACATGCGCAGTGCTAGTTTGGTCTGGGAATGAGAGTCGTGTGTGATTCGTCCGTGGTCTGGTTGTCTTGGTCTTGGTCATGTGTTCTGTACGTATTAGTCCCTGATTGGTCGTCACGATTTGTCCTCGGTTTATTACTGCTTGTTCTTTGTTGGTCCTCTGAGTCTTTTCCCGGGAGTCTTTCCTGTTGTCCTTCCTGTCGTCTCCAAGTTTCGTCTTTCTCCTCCTGTGCCCTTTCCGTTTGTATAAGAAGTCAGAAACTCCACCAAGTTGTTTGAGCTGTTGTGTGACAGGGGCCAGGGGGAGAAGGCAATACTATTTCCTTTACATTGGCGCCCAACGTTCGCTCGACGCAGGGTACTACCTCTGCAGCCCACGACCCTGGGATCGTTTTGTTTTCACCGTGGCTTCAGTTCGTGCTCGCCGTTTCGAAATATATTTTATTTCTCGTCGTTCAACTCACTTCACCGAGATTGCTACTACGGCCATGGAGATGGAAAGGCGTTCGCCAGCCTGGCCTGCAGGCCCCTTACCCGGTGAGTCGCTCCCGGAACGGGATGTCGTTGTTGTACTAAATTAGTTGTTGCAAGCGAATCTCTTCGGAGATGGTGTGTCCAGTATGTTTTACTTCCCAGAAGCGCCCAGGGCCCGGGTGCTTTCCCCGTCGTTCTGTTTGTCGGGGCAATGTAGTATTTTCACAATCCGCGTCGTGGGTTTTGTTTTTGGTGCTTGTTATCTTTTCGCGATCTGGTTCTTGTGTCTCTCTTGTGTCTTTCTGTTTTGGGTTTTGGCAGTCAGTGTACGTATATTTGCTGGGGTTTGTGCAGTTTCTTGATTAGCCTTTCAGTGTAGTCGTGTACCTGTTTGGTTTGTCAGCTTAGTTCGGTTTAGTCTTTCAGGGAGCGTATTTTGTTCTCGTTTTGTGTCGACCTGCGGGTCTGTTCAGTTCACCAGGTGAATGTCTGATCATGGTGAGCCACGGTTCCCTTCGTGAGCTGGTGGGCCCCAGTGTTTGTTTAGCCTTTTGTCGGGGAAGTATAAAATAAAAAAAAAAAACAAATAAATAAAAATCTAAATATTATGGGTCGTGGGACGACAAGATTATTATGGGTCGTGGGACGACAGGATCATACGGGGTCGTGGGACGACAAGATGATCCGCCATCGGAAAAGTGTGGGACACTTATGCCGGCTCCGCGCCGAGTTTTCTAGTCAGGTTAGAGTCCTGTGGGTTTCTCCCCTTCTGAAGTTTGTGTGACAGTGTATCGATGGATTTTCGATTTGTTCTTTTCCCTGATTGACTACATGCCTGCTGTGTTCTGTTGCTCCATTTGTACATGTTATACACATCTTCCACATCCGAATGGGCAAGTCGTACGACGCACCACCTCGTGGAACCACACCCAAGGTTTTCCCATCTCCACGTCTGCAGCCAGCCACTTGCCGTTGTCCTGTCTTCTTCTCCTGTTATTGTGTCTTCTCAACCCTTTTGTTTTCCTCCTACTCCATTTTTCTACTTCTGAGAGTCGAGGTCGACTCTCGCCGGAGGGGAAGGCTGTGTAACGAATTTATGTTACGACTATGATTTACGCATGTCGTTGTATTTGGTTCTTGTCTTGTGGAGTCCAGTGTCTGATGTCATATATGGTCTAGGTGTACGCGTGAGCATGGTGTGATGTGTGACGTTTATGGTATGTGGTGCATGCAGGAGTACGCGTTGTCAGAGTGTGAGGATGTGCTTCCGTCTGTGTGAGAGTGACTGTCAAGTGAATGCAGTACATGCGCAGTGCTAGTTTGGTCTGGGAATGAGAGTCGTGTGTGATTCGTCCGTGGTCTGGTTGTCTTGGTCTTGGTCATGTGTTCTGTACGTATTAGTCCCTGATTGGTCGTCACGATTTGTCCTCGGTTTATTACTGCTTGTTCTTTGTTGGTCCTCTGAGTCTTTTCCCGGGAGTCTTTCCTGTTGTCCTTCCTGTCGTCTCCAAGTTTCGTCTTTCTCCTCCTGTGCCCTTTCCGTTTGTATAAGAAGTCAGAAACTCCACCAAGTTGTTTGAGCTGTTGTGTGACAGGGGCCAGGGGGAGAAGGCAATACTATTTCCTTTACATTTGAATTTCAATGTACCTCTCTATAACATGACCCAGCTGCATTGTCAGTGGTCGCATTTATTTGATTTTTGGTTTGCTTGGAGGGCGCTGGCACCCACATTCAGTAACCCAGAAAATTTGGCACTGCTGTGAATAGTTTAGTCGCAAAGTGAAGATTCACGGGTAAAAAGCCCCAAACTGTCAGATAGGTTATTTTTCAGCTTTCAGCAGCCTTGGCCGAGTTCTTTAGAGAAATGTGGCTCTTTTTCTTTGTGCACTCGTCTGTGTCCAGCTACACAAGGAGATCAGGATGGTCATTGTCATTTTGTGAGCTGCGAACGGGCAGAAAGGTGAGAAAATGTCGGATTTTGACCATTTGTGCTGACCTTTGAATTTCAATGCACCTCTCTATAACATGACCCAGCTGTAATATCAGTGGTAGCATTGATTTGATTTTTGGTTTGGTTGGAGGGCGCTGGCACCCACATTCAGTGACCCAGAAAATTTGGCACTGCTGTGGATAGTTTAGTCGCAAAGTGAAGATTCACGGGTAAAAAGCCCCAAACTGTCAGACATTGCGCGAAATCACGCGACACCTGTACATTTTCGATCTGCGGGATGAAGATGACGACGTCCATGCATCAGGTATCAGGGGGTAGTAAGATACTGGTATATTACTACTCCACGCCTCGAATCGTGCTGTCAAGCGTATGCGGGGGAGTGTAGCATGCCATCCCTTACACTTTCCAGCTCAGGGTTACCCTCGCTACCAATGGACGAAATTTCAGGGTCACAGCTTGCGCAACGGCTTTGTCCTGTGCGAATGGCCACTCGACATACTCAGCACAAATTTTCTATTGCATGCATGCACAAAATGTTCAACTTTCGTATTTTTGGCGACTTTACCACCGTCGTGGAGGCTGGTTGGTGAGGAGCAGGTAGCCATCCCTTGTGGAATCAAACACATGGTTCCACAGTGTGGCTGATTCCGCAAGAGCCAGGTCCATACGAGGAACATTCGCTTTGTCTTTTGCCGTCGAAGTAAGTCACTTTTCTTGTTCTCAGTGTTTTTTACGTTCAACGTTTCTGAGATTTTTGAATTATTCACTTTTCATTCTTTTAATACTTTATTTCTTCATGTTCACTGCCTCACTTGCCTTCTGATCTGGAGAATGTGACGGAGGTGACTGTTGGTTACTGCCTGGTATAACGGTTGCCGTGCTGTTGCTGTATTTCCGTCCTGCTCGCGACGTTGTAGATCACAAACAATTTGAAATCACATGAATTGTACTTACCGTCGTGCGTGCGGTATTAGGAAACACTGTGCAGATTAGATCGTCGCAATGTATCTATATGTGTGTCTGGTCATCCTGTGCCACGCAAGAACTCCAACCAGACGCATTCGTCCTGGCCCCGTTGATCGATTGTCCACTCGTCTTTCCTTGAAGAACGATTGATCAAAAAAAAATCGAGCTCGAGGACTTTTTGCAAAAAAACGGCTGAAAAAAGGAAGAAAAAAGGGTGCTCAGAAGGAGATCCGAGTACACAACCATGGTCCCAGCAGTTTATGTGGATGTCGCTCTAAGATGCGCGATTTCGCGCAATGAAGGTTATTTTTCAGCTTTCAGCAGCCCTGGGCGAGTTCTTTAGAGAAATGTGGCTCTTTTTCTTGGTGCACTTGTCTATGTCCAGCTACAGAAGGAGATGAGGATGGTCATTGTCTGTTTCTGAGCTGCGAACGGGCAGAAAGGTGAGAAAATGTCGGATTTTGACCATTTGTGCTGACCTTTGAATTTCAATGTACCTCTCTATAACATGACCCAGCTGCGTTGTCAATGGTTGCATTGACTTGATTTTTGGTTTGCTTGGATGGCGCTGGCACCGACATTCAATGACCCAGAAAATTTGGCACTGCTGTGAATAGTTTAGTCGCAAAGTGAAGAATCACGGGTAAAAAGCCCCAAACTGTGGGATAGGTTATTTTTCAGCTTTCAGCAGCCTTGGGCGAGTTCTTTAGAGAAATGTGGCTCTTTTTCTTGGTGCACTTGTGTATGTCCAGCTACAGAAGGAGATGAGGATGGTCATTGTCTGTTTCTGAGCTGCGAACGGGCAGAAAGGTGAGAAAATGTCGGATATTGACCATTTGTGCTGACCTTTGAATTTCAATGCACCTCTCTATAACATGACCCAGCTGCATTGTCAGTGGTCGCATTTATTTGATTTTTGGTTTGCTTGGAGGGCGCTGGCACCCACATTCAGAGAAATGTGGCTCTTTTTCTTGGTGCACTTGTCTATGTCCAGCTACACAAGGAGATGAGGATGGTCATTGTCTGTTTCTGAGCTGCCAACGGGCGGAAAGGTGAGAAAATGTCGGATTTTGACCATTTGTGCTGACCTTTGAATTTCAATGCACCTCTCTATAACGTGACCCAGCTGTAATATCAGTGTTCACATTGATTTGATTTTTGGTTTGCTTGGAGGGCGCTGGCACCCACATTCAGTGACCCAGAAAATTTGGCACTGCTGTGAATAGTTTAGTCGCAAAGTGAAGATTCACGGGTAAAAAGCCCCAAACTGTGAGATAGGTTATTTTTCAGCTTTCAGCAGAAAGGTGAGAAAATGTCGGATTTTGAAAATTTGTCCTGACCTTTGAATTTCAATGTACCTCTCTATAACATGACCCAGCTGCATTGTCAGTGGTCGCATTTATTTGATTTTTGGTTTGCTTGGAGGGCGCTGGCACCCACATTCAGTAACCCAGAAAATTTGGCACTGCTGTGAATAGTTTAGTCGCAAAGTGAAGATTCACGGGTAAAAAGCCCCAAACTGTCAGATAGGTTATTTTTCAGCTTTCAGCAGCCTTGGGCGAGTTCTTTAGAGAAATGCGACTCTTTTTCTTGGTGCACTTGTCTATGTTCAGCTACAGAAGGAGATGAGGATGGTCATTGTCTGTTTCTGAGCTGCGAACGGGCAGAAAGGTGAGAAAATTTCGGATTTTGACCATTTGTGCTGACCTTTGAATTTCAATGCACCTCTCTATAACATGACCCAGCTGCATTGTCAGTGGTCGCATTGATTTGATTTTTGGTTTGCTTGGAGGGCGCTGGCACCCACATTCAGTGACCCAGAAAATTTGGCACTGCTGTGAATAGTTTAGTCGCAAAGTGAAGATTCACGGGTAAAAAGCCTCAAACTGTCAGAAAGGTTATTTTTCAGCTTTCAGCAGCCCTGGGCGAGTTCTTTAGAGAAATGTGGCTCTTTTTCTTGGTGCACTTGTCATAAGGAGATGAGGATGGTCATTGTCTGTTACTGAGCTATTAACGGGCGGAAAGGTGAGAAAATGTCGGATTTTGAACATTTGTGCTGACCTTTGAATTTCAATGTACCTCTCTATAACATGACCCAGCTGTAATATCAGTGGTCGCATTGATTTGATTTTTGGTTTGCTTGGAGGGCGCTGGCACCCACATTCATTGACCCAGAAAATTTGGCACTGCTGTGAATAGTTCAGTCACAAAGCGAAGATTCACGGGTAAAGAGCCCCAAACTGTCTGATAGGTTATTTTTCAGCTTTCAGCAGCCCTGGGCGAGTTCTTCAGAGAAATGTGGCTCTTTTTCTTGGTGCACTTGTCTATGTCCAGCTACACAAGGAGATGAGGATGTTCATAGTCATTTTTTGAGCTGCGAACGGGCAGAGAGGTGAGAAAATGTCGGATTTTGACCATTTGTGCTGACCTTTGAATTTCAATGTACCTCTCTATAACATGACCCAGCTGCGTTGTCCATGGTCGCATTGATTTGATTTTTGGTTTGGTTGGAGGACGCTGGCACCCACATTCATTGACCCAGAAAAGTTGGCACTGCTGTGAATAGTTTAGTCGCAAAGTGAAGATTCACGGGTAAAAAGCCCCAAACTGTCAGAAAGGTTATTTTTCAGCTTTCAGCAGCCCTGGGCGAGTTCTTTAGAGAAATGTGGCTCTTTTTCTTGGTGTACTTGTCTATGTCCAGCTACAGAAGGAGATGAGGATGGTCATTGTCTGTTTCTGAGCTGCGAACGGGCAGAAAGGTGAGAAAATGTCGGATTTTGACCATTTGTGCTGACCTTTGAATTTCAATGTACCTCTCTATAACATGACCCAGCTGTAATATCAGTGGTCGCATGGATTTGATTTTTGGTTTGGTTGGAGGGCGCTGGCACCCACATTCAGTGACCCAGAAAATTTGGCACTGCTGTGGATAGTCGCAAAGTGAAGATTCACGGGTAAAAATCCCCAAACTGTCAGATAGGTTATTTTTCAGCTTTTAGCAGCCCTGGGCGAGTTCTTCAGAGAAATGTGGCTCTTTTTCTTGGTGCACTTGTCTATGTCCAGCTACAGGAGATGAGGATGGTCATTATCATTTTCTGAGCTGAGAACGGGCAGAAAGGTGAGAAAATGTGGGATTTTGACCATATTTTGTGCTGACCTTTGAATTTCAATGTACCTCTCTATAACATGACCCAGCTGTAATGTCAGTGGTCGCATTGATTTGATTTTTGGTTTGCTTGGAGGGCGCTGGCACCCACATGCAGTGACCCAGAAAATTTGGCACTGCTGTGAATAGTTTAGTCGCAAAGTGAAGATTCACGGGTAAAAAGCCCCAAACTGTCAGATAGGTTATTTTTCAGCTTTCAGCAGCCCTGGGCGAGTTCTTCAAGGAAATGTGGCTCTTTTTCTTGGTGCACTTGTCTATGTCCAGCTACACAAGGAGATGAGGATGTTCATAGTCTTTTTTTGAGCTGCGAACGGGCAGAAAGGTGAGAAAATGTCAGATTTTGACCATTTGTGCTGACCTTTGAATTTCAATGTACCTCTCTATAACATGACCCAGCTGTAATGTCAGTAGTCGCATTGTTTTGATTTTTGGTTTGCTTGGAGGGCGCTGGCACCCACATCCAGTGACCCAGAAAATTTGGCACTGCTGTGAATAGTTACCGTATTATCTCTAATATAAGCACGGTCCTTTATTTTTTCAATGTACCTCCGCCCCGTGCTATTAATGGAGACGTTCCTTTATTGGAGACTGTTCCATTATTATTTCAACCTCATTTCAGAGGCATGTTGCCATGCCAAATTCATGTATGACACACACATTTCAGGGTTTTTTTCGCCGGTACAGATAATGAATTTACACAGTGTGCTTATAATGGAGACTGAGCACTTTATTTTTTGAATGCCGCCCCAAGGTGTTCTATTATTGGAGACGTGCTATTATTGGAGACTGTGCTTATATTAGAGATAATACGGTAAGTCGCAAAGTGAAGATTCACGGGTAAAAAGCCCCAAACTGTCAGATAGGTTATTTTTCAGCTTTCAGCAGCCCTGGGCAAGTTCTTCAGGGAAATGTGGCTCTTTTTCTTGGTGCACTTGTCTATGTCCAGCTACACAAGGAGATGAGGATGTTCATAGTCATTTTTTGAGCTGCGAACGGGCAGAAAGGTGAGAAAATGTCGGATTTTGACCATTTGTGCTGACCTTTGAATTTCAATGCACCTCTCTATAACGTGACCCAGCTGTAATATCAGTGTTCGCATTGATTTGATTTTTGGTTTGCTTGGATGGCGCTGGCACCCACATTCAGTGACCCAGAAAATTTGGCACTGCTGTGAATAGTTTAGTCGCAAAGTGAAGAATCACGGGTAAAAAGCCCCAAACTGTGAGATAGGTTATTTTTCAGCTTTCAGCAGCCTTGGGCGAGTTCTTTAGAGAAATGTGGCTCTTTTTCTTGGTGCACTTGTCTATGTCCAGCTACACAAGGAGATGAGGATGGTCATTGTCTGTTTCTGAGCTGCAAACGGGCAGAAAGGTGAGAAAATGTCGGATTTTGACCATTTGTGCTGACCTTTGAATTTCAATGTACCTCTCTATAACATGACCCAGCTGCATTGTCAGTGGTCGCATTGATTTGATTTTTGGTTTGCTTGGAGGGCGCTGGCACCCACATTCAGTGACCCAGAAAATTTGGCACTGCTGTGAATAGTTTAGTCGCAAAGTGAAGATTCACGGGTAAAAAGCCTCAAACTGTCAGAAAGGTTATTTTTCAGCTTTCAGCAGCCCTGGGCGAGTTCTTTAGAGAAATGTTGCTCTTTTTCTTGGTGCACTTTTCTATGTCTAGCTACAGAAGGAGATTAGGATGGTCATTGTCTGTTACTGAGCTATTAACGGGCGGAAAGGTGAGAAAATATCGGATTTTGAACATTTGTGCTGACCTTTGAATTTCAATGTACCTCTCTATAACATGACCCAGCTGTAATATCAGTGGTCGCATTGATTTGATTTTTGGTTTGCTTGGAGGGCGCTGGCACCCACATTTATTGACCCAGAAAATTTGGCACTGCTGTGAATAGTTTAGTCGCAAAGTGAAGATTCACGGGTAAAAAGCCCCAAACTGTGAGATAGGTTATTTTTCAGCTTTCAGCAGCCTTGGGCGAGTTCTTTAGAGAAATGTGGCTCTTTTTCTTGGTGCACTTGTCTATGTCCAGCTACACAAGGAGATGAGGATGGTCATTGTCTGTTTCTGAGCTGCAAACGGGCAGAAAGGTGAGAAAATGTCGGATTTTGACCATTTGTGCTGACCTTTGAATTTCAATGTACCTCTCTATAACATGACCCAGCTGCATTGTCAGTGGTCGCATTGATTTGATTTTTGGTTTGCTTGGAGGGCGCTGGCACCCACATTCAGTGACCCAGAAAATTTGGCACTGCTGTGAATAGTTTAGTCGCAAAGTGAAGATTCACGGGTAAAAAGCCTCAAACTGTCAGAAAGGTTATTTTTCAGCTTTCAGCAGCCCTGGGCGAGTTCTTTAGAGAAATGTTGCTCTTTTTCTTGGTGCACTTTTCTATGTCTAGCTACAGAAGGAGATTAGGATGGTCATTGTCTGTTACTGAGCTATTAACGGGCGGAAAGGTGAGAAAATATCGGATTTTGAACATTTGTGCTGACCTTTGAATTTCAATGTACCTCTCTATAACATGACCCAGCTGTAATATCAGTGGTCGCATTGATTTGATTTTTGGTTTGCTTGGAGGGCGCTGGCACCCACATTTATTGACCCAGAAAATTTGGCACTGCTGTGAATAGTTTAGTCGCAAAGTGAAGATTCACGGGTAAAAAGCCCCAAACTGTGAGATAGGTTATTTTTCAGCTGTCAGCAGCCCTGGGCGAGTTCTTCAGAGAAATGTGGCTCTTTTTCTTGGTGCACTTGTCTATGTCCAGCTACACAAGGAGATTAGGATGGTCATTGTCTGTTACTGAGCTATTAACGGGCGGAAAGGTGAGAAAATATCGGATTTTGAACATTTGTGCTGACCTTTGAATTTCAATGTACCTCTCTATAACATGACCCAGCTGTAATATCAGTGGTCGCATTGATTTGATTTTTGGTTTGCTTGGAGGGCGCTGGCACCCACATTTATTGACCCAGAAAATTTGGCACTGCTGTGAATAGTTTAGTCGCAAAGTGAAGATTCACGGGTAAAAAGCCCCAAACTGTCAGAAAGGTTATTTTTCAGCTTTCAGCAGCCCTGGGCGAGTTCTTTAGAGAAATGTGGCTCTTTTTCTTGGTGCACTTGTCTATGTCCAGCTACAGAAGGAGATGAGGATGGTCATTGTCTGTTTCTGAGCTGCGAACGGGCAGAAAGGTGAGAAAATGTCGGATTTTGACCATTTGTGCTGACCTTTGAATTTCAATGAGGATGGTCATTATCATTTTCTGAGCTGAGAACGGGCAGAAAGGTGAGAAAATGTGGGATTTTGACCATATTTTGTGCTGACCTTTGAATTTCAATGTACCTCTCTATAACATGACCCAGCTGTAATGTCAGTGGTCGCATTGATTTGATTTTTGGTTTGCTTGGAGGGCGCTGGCACCCACATTCAGTAACCCAGAAAATTTGGCACTGCTGTGAATAGTTTAGTCGCAAAGTGAAGATTCACGGGTAAAAAGCCCCAAACTGTCAGATAGGTTATTTTTCAGCTTTCAGCAGCCCTGGGCGAGTTCTTCAGGGAAATGTGGCTCTTTTTCTTGGTGCACTTGTCTATGTCCAGCTGCACAAGGACATGAGGATGTTCAGTCTTTTTTTGAGCTGCGAACGGGCAGAAAGGTGAGAAAATGTCGGATTTTGACCATTTGTGCTGACCTTTGAATTTCAATATACCTCTCTATAACATGACCCAGCTGTAATGTCAGTAGTCGCATTGTTTTGATTTTTGGTTTGCTTGGAGGGCGCTGGCACCCACATCCAGTGACCCAGAAAATTTGGCACTGCTGTGAATAGTTTAGTCGCAAAGTGAAGATTCACGGGTAAAAAGCCCCAAACTGTCAGATAGGTTATTTTTCAGCTTTCAGCAGCCCTGGGCGAGTTCTTCAGGGAAATGTGGCTCTTTTTCTTGGTGCACTTGTCTATGTCCAGCTACACAAGGAGATGAGGATGTTCATAGTCATTTTTTGAGCTGCGAACGGGCAGAAAGGTGAGAAAATGTCGGATTTTGACCATTTGTGCTGACCTTTGAATTTCAATGTACCTCTCTATAACATGACCCAGCTGTAATGTCAGTGGTCGCATTGTTTTGATTTTTAGTTTGATTGGAGGGCGCTGGCACCCACATCCAGTGACCCAGAAAATTTGGCACTGCTGTGAATAGTTTAGTCGCAAAGTGAAGATTCACGGGCAAAAATATGGAAGTCTGAAGCTGTTCTCGGGACAGGGTGTAGAGAAAAACAATTCGGACAGCAAAAGTTTCTACAGAAGCTGCAATCGCCATCATGCCGCAGTCGATATCTTGGCAACCAAACGCCGCCTGCATGACCTGGAATCAGCTACCGACCACAATGGTGATCCAATAGTCCGTGCTAAGAGGCACTACACACAGAGGAACGCACCACAGTAACTGCCATTGTGCCCATCAAATATATTGTAAGAACTGTTTCTGTGTTGCGGCTGGGGCATTAATTAAATTCCATGACAGTCACCCCGATAATATTAGGACCTTGCAACTAACTTCCCTGCACTCTGTTCTGGTTGTGGGCTTGTGTACTTTCATGTGTCAGTGTGCAACTTTGATATTGTAACACGAAGTGCGACATTGGATATAATTTACTTCAAATTCTGTGTGTACTTGTTGGCTAATACCTGGGTTGCGCAGCGTAACTTCGAATAATCTGAATGAATGGTGTATATGTTATTTTGCTGCCTGCCTATCTGTAGGACTTGTGGAATCAGCTACCGACCACGATGGTGATGCGATAGCCCGTGACAAGAGGCACTCAGTGACACACAGAGTACCGCGGCAGTAACTGGCATTGTGCCCATCAATAAAATATATCGTAAAAATAAAATGAAATTATGACTTCTGGTGTGCGAGTGCTTGTCAAAGTATTACAGATAAGCTGAAGTTTATTTTATAACGAAAAATCATGCTGCATGATTCCTTGTTGAAAATATTGTTTACAAAACCAGAATCTTTTTCCCAACGTGCACAGACAGTTCCTCTATGAATAAACTTTTCTGGGGAACTATTTTCCCGTCTGGTCCACTGCAATACCAAGTAGGGATGTCAGCGAACGCACTGCGCAGGCCTCTGCGCATGCATTGCGTCATCGATTTTTTGAACGTGATCGCGGCCGACAGAGAAAACATGGCCGCGGTCTGTTTGCACCGCTGGGAGTCGTAAAATTACTGTTCTTCTGTCCCCGCGATCATTCAAATCATACGCGATACAGGAGGACCCACGAGCTCACCACGTTCTCCCCGGTCGATTTCTCTGAAAGTTTGCACATCGTGAAACACCAGTATGAGAGGTGTTCAGGCCAATTTTCAAGGGATTACCCTGGTTGGATCGTTCCAAAATCGGACTTGCATTTCTCGCTCGCGGCCATTTCTTGCGCGATGGAAGCGCCCTGCCCTGGTGAGTAACCAGCGTCGCGCTTGGTAGAGAGTTGCTGCAATCAGCTCCCTGATGTCTTCGCTGCCATTGTCAGAAGCGATGGGCCCTGAATTTGTTTGAGAGTCTCTGGATGCTACTTTTCCTCAGCCTAGTTTTCAGCCATTCCGTGCATCTTCTTCGCACGATTTATTTTGCAAAAAAATGAAAGGGTTCATGAGTTTTTTTGTCGGCGCGCGTAGATGGGCCAGGCTGACCTGCGCAGTGCGTTCGATGATATCCCTATACCCAGTCTTCTGTTCCCTTTGACGATGACGAACAGACATAGACATAACTTGCGTCCCTTGCCCATGAGTATTCAAACGCATGAAAATGAATGGGGGGAAATGGGAAGTAGACAAGCTAGGTAAATGGACAACACGATACTTGGAAGAGGGAGTTTCAGGGTCAGTACAAGGGAACAAATGACGAAACGTAGGACGAGACATAGGGACAAGGTTTGGGGATGGGGCGACGCATTGATGCGCCCACACAGCACAGAAGCAAATTCTGATATGGCTGTCGCTGGCGGGGCATCGGGGGACAGATACTCGGCCAGAAGTTCTGGGGTGAGGTGGTGACGAGGTTCCCACGAAGCTTCCTCCATGCCAAAGCCCTTCCACTTCAAAAGGAATTCTTTCTTTCCCTATTCAAACATGCAATGTAGCCGGGTGGAAACTAAAGTAAACAGGAAATCAACATCTCTGCTGAGATAGAGAAACTCACACTTACATTGCGATCCCGGCAGCCGACAACAAAGTCCACGGCATACTCCTCCGGCGCAGCTGGTCGTGGTGACGACTTGGCACACTGGCGAAGGTCGACATTGGGACTGGCAAGTCGCCTATAAAAACCCTCCACCCGCTCGCTTCTCCTCGTCCTCTCCATCATTGGCAGCAACAAATTACTTTCCAACTACATGTACTATTGTAGGGTCCTAGCCCTAGCACAACTCTAAAACGCACACAAATGGCGTAAATCGATAGAGTTGTATCATTACTGTAATATTGACAAAGCAATGAAAGAGAGATAGAAAGGCAACTGCCTTCGATGAAACCAAACTATCTACTGGCCTAAAGCTCTAGGTTGAGAATGTCTTGGCCAGTAAGGAAAAGGGTGTACATGTGTAGTAATGACATAGTACAGTGACAGTGTGCATAATGTCCTATATACAGATACGCTACGGTATAAATGCCTGGCGAAATACGAGGACGCATGATGGGATATATGCGTATAAACTGGAATCTGAACCAGAAGTAGCGTACACATTATAATTCCGGGAAATGGCCATAAAAATCAAAGTCACCGTTTATGGAAAACCCAGGAGTGAAAACGGAAAAGTTACAGGTATGTGAACTGCTAAAGTCACCACATTACCCCCCTCCTAGAGCACGACTCCATAGTAAAAAAAAGGAAGAAAAAAATGTGGGTCGTGAGCGACCAGGAATGAGACTGTAGCAGGGACTGCAACACTACTCCAAGACATGTGCCGGCTTGAGGCGGTCAATGGAGAAAGTTACCGGCCAACCCTTTACATCCAGCACAAAATATTTGGCAGATCGGCGGAGCACAGGAAATGGACCATCGTACGGAGCCTGCAAAGGCCGCCGGACAGCGTCGTTGCGTAGGTATACCCGCTCGGCTGATGCTAAAGCGACTGGTAAATACCCACGTGCGTCGACGTCACGGGTCGGGATCGGCGTGACACTCTGCATCGCATCCTGCAGTCGGCGGAAGTAGTCCGCACCGGTGGATGGAATGTCGGACACCGGGGCGGAGGCACCGAGGAGTTGGCCTGGGAGGGGCAAGGAGGAGCCGTAGACCATCTCGGCCGAACTCAACTGGGTGTCTACCCGGATGGCAGACCGGATGCCGAGCAGAATGACCGGCAGATGGTCGACCCAGAAAGCCGGATCGGGTAGAGCGCGGAGCGAGGCCTTGAGCTGGCGATGAAACCGTTCCACCATACCATTGGCCTGAGGATGGTAGGCCGTTGTATGGAGGTGTTGGCAACCCAAGGCCTGCGAGAGGTGGCGGAACAGGATCGACTCGAACTGCGCACCTCGATCAGACGTGATGGTAGAGGGGATGCCAAAGCGAGCAATCCATACCGACAACAGGGCCTTGCATACCGATACAGCAGTAATGTCTGCGAGAGGCAGCACTTCAACCCAGCGGGTGCAACGATCAATGCAGGTGAACAGATATGTTGCCGATTGACACGTGGGCAGGGGACCGACCAAATCAACGTGGATGTGGGCGAATCGATCACCCATAGGGATTGGACATACCGGAGCTTTGGTGTGGCGGTGGATCTTTGCACGCTGACAGTCAGAGCAGGCACGGGTCCAGTTGGCGACGTCTGCATTCATGCCAGGCCATACAAAGCGGTCCGCGACTAACTTGCGCGAAGCTTCTATTTCCGGATGAGCAAGCGCACTGTCGGAAACCGGGCGGCAGGAACAGTAGGGGTTTGCCAGTGGACATGTCGCAAACTACTGGGAGGGTGGCGGAGGGAAGAGTCACCTCACGGAACTGAAGGCTGCAGTCAGGTTTGCCGCGCAGTTGGAGGAGTTCGGCATCCACGGCTTGTGCAGAAGCCAGCGCTGAGAAATCAACTGTCGGCGGTGCGCTGACTGCATGGACGCGCAATAAAGCGTCGGCAACAGGATTGCTGGGACCGGACACATAGCGGACGTCAGTAGTGAACTCTGAAATGTATCCCAGCTGACGAGCCTCCCGCGGGGAATGCTTGGAGGACGGAGAACGAATGGCATGGGTCAGTGATCGGTGATCGGTGAGTACATGGAAGGGACGGCCTTCCAGGTAGTGCTGGAAGTGCCTAATTGCCAAGTAGACAGCCAGCAGTTCACGGCCAAACGTTGCGTAGCGACACTCAGGAGCTGTGAGTTTCTTACTGAAGAAAGCGAGCGGCTGCCATTCCTCGTTCACGAACTGTTGCAAGACGGCACCCACACAAGTGTCCGAGGCATCGCACATCAAATTTAGTGGTGCGGACGGAATGGGATGCGTGAGCATCACAGCTGATGCGATTGCCGACTTAGCAGCGGCGAAGGCAGACCCGGTAGCGTCAGTCCAGGGGAAAGCAGAGGAATACTTAGGTTTACCTGATAGCATGTCGTTGAGTGGACGAACCAGCTGCGCTGCTTGGGGAATAAACCGCCGGTAGTAGTTGACCATGCCAAGGAAACGCCGGAGTTGCCTCAAACTTGTGGGCCGGGAGAACTCGTTAATGGCCGTGACACGATTAGGGGTTGGCTGGATGCCATCAGCGGAAACAACATGGCTAAGAAACTCCAGTGAGTCGGCAGCAAACACGCACTTACTGGGGTTGATGACAAGACCGTGATCATGCAACCGTTGTAGGACTTGTCGAACATGCTGCCGGTGTGTTTCCAGATCCGGACTGGCGATGAGCACGTCATCGATGTACACAAAGCAAAATGGTAAATCGCGCAGGATTTGGAACCGCTGGAAGCACTGGACGCGTTGCGGAGGCCGAACGGCATGCGGATGAACTCAAATAGCCCAAACAGGGTGATAACTGCTGTCTTAGGAATATCCTCCTCTGCAACCGGGATCTGATGATACGCACAGATAAGGTCCAGTTTCGTGAAGTAGCGAGCCCCATTCAGATCTGCTGTGAAATCCTGAATATGGGGAATTGGGTATCTATCTGGGACCGTCTTCTGATTCAGTGCACGGTAATCGCCACATGGACGCCAGTCGCCATTAGGTTTAGGTACCATGTGCAGCGGACTGGCCCATGTGGACTGGGATGGCCGAACGATGGCCAAATTCATCATGTGCTGGAACTCACGCTTGGCGACATCAAGACGGTCCGGTGCGAGTCGGCGGGCTTTCGCAAATACTGGAGGTCCACTGGTCTCAATGTGGTGGCTGACGGTGTGCTTGACTGGCTGGTCATACCTGGGTGGCTGGGCGACCTCAGGGATATCCTCCAGTAATGAGGTGAACGCGGATGATGCAGCAGGGGGTATAGTACTGATCGGTGGCTCGGGTGTGGCCACGCTGATAGAACCCAGAGCGTGCAAACTGGTCACTTCATCCCGCAACTCCTGGTGGGCGATGCTCGCAGGTGAAAATGTCCAAGAAAGTCTGCTCCCAGAATGGGTTGCGTTACGTCCGCCACAATGAATACCCATGTAAAATGCCGCCGGAGACCAAAGTCCAAGGTCAGGGAACTCACAGCAGCTCCTGTATCCACAAGGTATAGAGCACCAGCAATCCGATCTCGGACATGTAGGCGGCTAGAGGTATTCGTACCAGACACTTGCGCCACTAATGTCTGGCTTGAGCGTTTCCTGGCCAATAGCTACAGGTATGGTCGCACTTCAGAGCCTTATCGCCAAACTTAGCATGGTAGCGGCAGAGGTGTGACTTGCGACTATCAGCACGTGCAGTTGAGG